TAATAAATTCCACGTTTCTGTCCGTCTTTACATTAAATACGGAGCTACTGAATTAAACTGGGAATCTAACAATTCTTGTTTTGTGTCTACATTCCGTTAATCCACGATAATGTGGTTTTTTATCGATAGCAAAAAGAGGAACATAATTCCATTCCGTTAACACACACTATAGAACCGTATTTGATAAAAATTGTATAATATAGCTGGTATGGCTGGTGGTTTGACCAACTGCTGACACTGCTCACGTGGTTGTTCCTGTACTAACTTCTTGAATTTTCGCGGATCACCTCCAAATATATGCCCAAACTACTCAAGACCTTAAGTCGCCTATTCAGATAAATGCTGATTTGGCTAAATAATAAGTTTGAGCAATAAATTTGGACACACAATTAACCCTTCGAAATTCCATACTACCTATAATATATAAGTATAACATATATCATAAACCTGGGAATAAAAATAATGTTAAAAATCTGAAAGTAAGCTTATAGCTTTAACTTTAAGGGATTGTCTGGTCAAAGAAGTGGATACGAAGAAGAAGAAGATTTGACGACTCATTGGTCTAGTGGTTAGTACCCCTGACTGCGAATCCATGGGTCCCGGGTTCGATCCCCGGCTGAGACGAACATCGATGTGATCAGCATTTGGTGTTGTGCTTAGGTCTTGGGTGTTTAAATATGTATTTATATGTCTATCTATCTATAATATGTATGTATATCCGTTGCCTAGTACTCATAACACAAGCTTCACCAGCTTAGCATGGGACTAGGTCAATTGGTGTGAATTGTCAAAAAAAAAAAAAGTCAGTACGCCGCTTCAAGTATTCTTAGACGATTAGCGTTCTTCCTATAACTCTCTTGCTACTTCAGTCCCTTCCCTTATAAGTTAGATTATGCTAACTCTAATCCCACATGTAAGGATCTACTGGATATTGACTCCGAGCTCTGTCCTTCATCCCAAAACTCCTTCCTACCTATCTACCAATCCTATAAGCAAATAGTCAGCTAAAAATAAATTCGTATTACAATTTTACATACGAAACCTTACATAGAAATGTAAATGATCTCGACATAGGACAAGACTGATTTGAATTCTGCGCGGGCGCATTTGAAATTTAAATAATACACGTTATACCAGTGGCATTCATCAGGGGTGAACGTATATAAAATGCGCTGAAGAATGCAAACATTTTTACATGGTGTGCGCAAGACACCACTATGACTTTAGTATATCAAGGCCTGGATATCTTTAATGATAATATTAATTGTTTCCATAACATGAATTTACATTTCAAATGTTGTTAGTATTAACTTATAGATAAATCAGCCTCCTGTGCCTGACACGCGCCGTCGACTTTTTGGGTCTAAGACATGTCGGTTTCCTCACGATGTTTTCCTTCACCGTTCGAGCAAATTTTAAATGCGCACATAGAAAGAAAGTCCATTGCTGCACAGCCGGGGATCGAACCTACGACCTCAGGGATGAGAGTCGCACGCTGAAGCCACTAAGGCAACACTGCTCAACTTAAATTACCAAAGTTTCAACAAAATAAGCAACACAATTGGTTTTAAAACGTGGGTACTGTAATAAAAGAAAAAATAAAATATATATGAAATATATGAATATATGATGACTGTGTGATAATGATATAAATGTGTAATTGTGTGTGTGTGTGAAAGGCGAAACAAATCCAAGAAAGTGTACATGAAAAATATTGATTAAGGATAAACCTATAAAGTAGGATTCAACAGTGATTCCGTTTTCTGTTCCCGGCTGGTTAATTCCATTATGTTGTCTTTAATATCTATATGTTGTCTTGATATCGTGTTACATGACCAGCCCATTGCCAAGTTCAAAGTTTGTGATAGGCCATCAGCTGCTTTATTTTCTTGTCTAATAATATCTTTCGTGTACGTCTTTCCTGTTATTTTTATCAAGTCATCAGCCCACTCTTCTTTTCCCGGGTGGTCTTTAACGTCCATCTGTTGTCCAGGCATCGTGTTACAAGGAATGAACATGGTGTGCGCTATGACTTCAGTGGGTCAAAATCCAAGTCCTGGTCTTCAAGCCAGAGCAAGAACTAACCTTCTGAGAAGGGCACATACATAGGTTAACGGACCTGTTTTATTGAAGTGAACTGACAAATCGATTATTTGTTAGTGTCTATAGTTAGATAACTTTTGTATTTTATGATGTAATTTAGATTTTCCTAATTAATTTCTTAACTTCTTAATTGGTGATGTATTCTTGTCCATTTACGGTCACCTGCTAGGACAGGATTGTGTTTTTTATAAATAAATATTTATTCGGCCGTTCCCTGCTTAGATTGTCTTTGGTGTGAAATTTGAATTGAATAGATGTTCTGTTTTTGGAAATGTCACTGTCAAAGTTGTTTATTTTGCGTTGCGTTTATTCGTTGCGTGTTCGTTTACCACCTTAGTATTAGGTACCTAAGTTTTTGTAATACTCTAGTAAGTCTATGTTATAGATTTGATCCAGTTTTTAAAATGCCGTTATCGCACTCGTGAGCTCTCTAGCATTGAAAGTGACCATGGGCGGTAGATAATTCCGATCCAATTCAACTTAGGGTCCTTCAAAAAGACACCAGCGAGCCTTCTGGCATTGTCCATGGGCGGTATCACTTAAAATCTGGCGAGCCTCCTGCCTCTTTGCCCCCAGTTGCATAAAAAACAAAAGATAATTTAGCACTTTGCCCCGTAGTTTGACTTTTAATAGTATTATCTCTCATTATCCAACTTTTTTAGCGAAGTACCGAACAACAATTTTCATTCAATAAGTTGCGTAGGGGCGTTGTGGATTATAAATTATTTTCTAGTGAAATTGTATTTTGAATTGAATTTGAGAGCTCTCGTGAACGCTCTTGAATAAGGTGGAACATAAATAAAATAAATAAAATGAGTGGCGTTACAACCTTTTTTTTTGTAATAAGAGGCAAACGGGCAGGAGGCTCATCTGATGTTAAGTGATACCGCCGCCCATGGACACTGACATTGCTAGAAGGCTCGCAAGTGTGTTGCCAGCATTTTAGGAATTGGTACGCTCTTTTCTTGAAGGACCTTAAGTCGAATTGGTTCGGAAATACTTCAGTGGGCAGCTGGTTCCACATAGTGGTGGTGCGCGGCATAAATTGCCTTAGAAAACGCTCAGTTGTGGAACGACGGACGTCGAGGTGATACGGATGGTATTTTATATTTTGCCTTGATGTCCGATAATGAATCTCGGCTGCAGGTATTAGACCGAACAACTCCTCTAAACACTCTCTATGGTAAATGCGATAGAAGATGCAGTGAGACCCCACATCTCTGCGCAACGCCAAGGGATCAAGCCGCACGGAAAGGGATTAGTCATCGACGATTCGAACCGCTCTTCGTTGAATACGGTCAAGTGGAAGCAGCTGGTACTGGGGACCTCCCGCCCAGAGGTGATAACAGTATTCCATGTGGGGCCGAATTTGCACTTTATACAGTTGCAAGCGGTGGCCAGGAGTGAAGTACAGTCACGCCTTGCTGAGCTCAGCAAGCTTTTTGGAGGCTAATTTAGCCTTCCCTTCCAAATGACCGTGAAACTGAACGTCATTCGTTAAGTACCTTTTTCGGTCTGGGCCTCAGATTCTGTGCTTGACCCACCGTTGACTTGGGTCTAAGGCAAGCCGGTTTCCTCACGATGTTTTCCTTCGTACGAGCGAATGTTAAATGCCCCGTGCACCAATGGACTTTCCATTGGTGCACGGGGTTTTACGATCTCAGGGGAGAGACTCACGCTGAAGCCACATAGGTAAGATCCAAAAATCCTCCTGCCCTTTTTTTACGTAATGTCATTTATTTATGTTATTATAATAAATGGAAAAAAACAATAACTATCCTTAAAATATATTATTAAAAGGAGTCCCTGTAGGCAAGGTTCCGAAGATACTGGCAGCGTTCCCCCTTTGAATAGCTAGACGAATTCTTCCAATAGCTGCCAGCTCTTCGGTCTCCTGTGATGTCAACTAATATAATTGTAGATCACTTATTTGTCTTCAATAAGTGGGAGAATTAAGAATATCTAAAGCGCTAAACCTGCATCATGAGCACTCACCACATACACACCCTCACTTTCACACCATCACGCTACACAGCCGAATGAGGAATTACTTAGTTTAATGTATTTCATATTTTTTATTGATATTTTCTTTTCTTTTTCATAAATGTTTGAACTTTTTTGTATATTTTTATTTATTTGACAGAATAATATAATAAAATCCTAATATGCTAATTTAGAAAACCGCTGTGGTTTGTATTTATTATATTATGTTTTGTTTAATAATTATTAATAATATGTTTAATTTTCTGTTGTATATAATTTATGTTAGCTTTAGGATAACGATATAAATAAATATCCTCAGTCTTTGTTCATACTATGTTATATGTTTTCTATCAGAATACAATACATCTAAGCAACTCCTTCACTATTTGTGTCACTTGACGTTACCTGGATCAATATGACTGAGCCTCACTTGACATATTTTTATAACGATGCCCGGGACACACCGGGAGCAAATATTCTCAAAAAAAATATATGTACGATATTCTTAACATTTATAGTAATAATAATAATATAAAAATGAATAGAAAACTATAAGAAATTTAAAAAGTTTTATCCGTGTGGTAAACTGTTAAAGCCGGTATTTGCTGTATGGCGATACCATTAAGCAAAGAAAACACCAGCTCTGGGGTCACTGGTAGTACCAGGCGCCAACTTAAATCTTTCACGGCCCAAAACTGTACCCCAAAGAGAAAATTGTGCTTAGGCTCAGAAGTAAATAAAACCATGAAACACTTTTATAATGGTATCTCACTTGGCCTTGATAGGAGGATCCCCGTGATGAGGCTCACCAGTGCGACTATCCACCTCGCGGGCAGATGGCGCAGCGCCTGGTGGGCGATGCTATACGGTCCCGGCGCCTTCCTAGGTCTCAGTCGAGAGATCCATATCCGCACTTATCGTGGCGAGAAGAAGATCGGGTACGCCAGCCGAGCCGTGACATCTTCCACCCCTCTGCCTCGCGCGCAGTGGATGTCGCGGGATCCAGCGTGAACTGTCGCTGCAGGTGCTCGGCGAATATATCGGTTCCATCGTCGTCCACGTACACGAGGAGCCTGGTAGAGACGACGGCAAAGTTGGAAGTGTGTAGGCTCTGTGGACGCCTCTCCCAGTGAGTGGTCACCCAGGTGCGCCAATCGTGTGTCACCAGCTCGGCCTTGACACGTTCGGCGAGGCGATACAGCTGCGTTTAAAACACGGGACAGCAATTGCGCTGCCATTGCCTCCTGAGTGAAAGTCCCTCCTCCTCTAAATGGTATATACTTCTATGGCATCATATTACTATCGCGGTTTACATGAACAACGCCATCTATTGATGAATAAATAATAAAATTAAATGTATAATCTAGACCATAGAACTAGTGTATATGACTGTACACAAATGAACGAAGGAAAATATCGTAACACCGGCATTAGGTAACACCCAATCAGGCAAAGATCCCCTACCTGCCTCATGAAACAGATACATAGGACCCAGACCTAAAAGGCTGTAGCGCTACTTTGTCTCTTATGATCAAAGCGAAAAACAATTAGAGAAAGAGACGAGTGCAATATGATTTATATTAAAAGAAGTTTAATATATAAAATTACCGTTATGACCCCAGTGCACCACACCATTAATCCCCACTCAAAGTCTTGTATCAAATTCTTGTACGAGATCCATTGATATTTTATATAAATTGAAAATATATTTTCAAGAATAAAAATGTTTTCTAATGATATTATTCATTTTTCAAGTACTTAATATACTACTTATATAACTATTATTAATAAAAATCTTTCAAACATTGTACAACCCAGTACTCGGTATGTCGAGTACAAAAAAATTCATAAAAAATGGTTAAGCCGTTTCAGAGGAGTTCTGTTACACGACACGAGAATTATATAGAATATTTTAGGTTGAATACTCGTAGTGCTTAGAAAGCGTCTAGTCTAGACTTAATAAACTAATGAGGTCTGCCTTTACGGCCATCTCATACATGGCTATCGGAAGGAAAAAATAATGATTTATTAATTAATTGTCTTGAATAAAACAATGAGTCCCTTATATGTTTGTGGTATACTAGTCGTTCCACAACTGAGCGTTATTTAAAGCAGTGGGCACCACCACTATGTGGAACCAGGGCACTAAAAAAAATCCGAACCAATTCGACTTTCTTCAAAGACCGTACCAATTCCTAAAAGACACTTGCGAACCTTCTGGAATTTAGAGTGTGGCAATGGGTAGTACCAAACCAATTCGACTTAGGCTCCTTCAAAGAGCTTAGACTCTTTTATTATATTTAAAAAAAAACTGTAAATTTAGACTGTTCCCTAAGTTCCCTAAATTAAACCAGTACCAATCCATAAGTATCACTTAACATCAGGTGCGCCTTCCGTCCATTTGCCCACTCTTGTATAAAAAAGAGAATATTCCAGATACCTTATCAAAATCCTGTTAGTTTCCGAATAATTTCTGGACAAACACATTAAGATACTTAACTTGCTTGAAAGCCTAATCATCATACTCAAAATTATCTAAAAAAAAAGGTTAAACTGACCTCATTTTCGTAGTTGGTTAAATGTGATTGAAAAACCGGTTTGAGAATGCCTTAACCTATTAGTTGATGGTAAATTTCGGAAGTCTAATTTCGTTCACGATTTTTGAATTTAATTAATTTTTGAAATTCAGTTAATAATGTTTGCTATCCGAAATTGAGGGTTCTAGCGTCACTTTGAACAATGAGTACATGGGTTTCTATATCAATCAATAAAGTATTTAAATAGGCTAATTTTAATAATAAACGGGGACGTAGCCGACTCTTTTTTGAGAGTATTTAGACGGGGCAGGTTTAAAAAAAATATTTATTATTGTTATTTATCAAAATATGTTGCTAGAAAATCGAACACTGGACCAATTCGAGTAATTTTGTGTGAAAAGCGAGCAGTTTCTATGTGGTAACATAGCAAAATGTTCCATATTGTTACGTTCTAGGGGTCGGATAGAAAACGCCGTAGATCTATTCAAGGGTTTATTTTTAAATATTTAAATTTTAAATTACAATTTGCGCTTCAACCTTTTAGGTCTGGCTCCTATGTATGTGTTTCATGAGGCAAGTGGGTGATCTTTGTATTACGATTTACTCCTTAATAAAATTGGTGCACGGCCGTGATGCGAACACACTCAAATTTTCCTGTTTATTTTTTTTTTGGACCACAAAGTTAGGACAAACACATGATATAATATATTGACATACCTACATACAACAATATAAAAAGCGGTGCCGTCCCTATAACATGTGCACACGACCAGCGAAATCAAGTACATACAATAACCATAATACAAACAACCATAAAATTAAAAATACAAACAATAAAAGAATTAAACTATTTGAACAGAGAAAAGAAATTATCGGTTCTATGTCCTAATTGTTGAACCCACTAGGCCAACACTGCCTATATTTAATTTGATACTCAGCTTCATACAGAGAGAAATCTCTGAAAGCTGAAGGCATATTTTAATTTAACTGTCGTATTAGAAGCCTTTAAGTATTAACGAAATTTTCCAAGTGCTCGCGTTAATTAGGAAAATGTCAAAATTGAGGTGGGTATCGCAAGGCCCTACTACGGTATGCGTGGACATTAAACGTATTCGAGAAGTTGTAAGTGAGATTGGAAACAACAAAAAAGCACAAAAGCTGGCGTCGTCGTCTTTTCTCCAACTTTAATTTTGTTTCCTTTGAAGTCGACTCTTGGGGCTTGTTGAAACACCTAATTAGATTTAAAAGATTTAAATTGGTGACGGTGACCCCAGAGCTGATGCTTTGAATGTCTTAGGAAATGAAAACAAATTTAAAAAGTTTACCTACCTTTAATGCTGGTATTTCCATCATTAAAGGTAAACTGCCACAGGGAACAAACTTATTTAATTTATTTAATTATCTTTTTATACATTTTAAATTATTTTTTTTATTATGGTTAAGAATATTGTAAAAACTGTACCAGTGAAACTGTGTGTTGGAAATAAATATCATATATTTGATAATGTTTTAAGATTATTAATTCATAAAGTGAGTAATGGTTCTAAATCTAAGTTCTCAAATCAAGGATGTAGAACGAGAAGAACTGGCAATGCTCCGTCACTGTTTATAATCGTCAAGGTTTGTAAAATAATAATAATAAGGTTTGTTAACAAAACTTATTTTTTTTTTACTTTAAACACATTGTATAAGCAATAGGTACATATACCTCGACCTCGGCCTAGAAACAGTTCGACAGGAAATAGCTCAAAACAGCCTGAAATACCAGGATAAGCTGACCTCCCATGTAAATAAACTGGCACACGCTCTGAGCGGAGAAGGCGGTCTTCAGCATAAGCGGCTAAAAAGAAGGGACGTACCGAGTCTATATAAAAGATTTACCTCTTAACATCAAGAGAGTCGTGGCTCTATGTCGAGTATGGCTCTTGAGGATAACATGAACTAAGTAAAATCAAACAAACAAGTGGCTTATTGCTGGATAGCAGATTGCCATGAAGCAGATACAAAAAAAAAACTTTAAACAATACCACCCTAACGGCAAACAATGCGATAGTTGTGTAGCTTAATTGCCGTAACATATATCGATCCTTTCGGAGACTCTTACTCTCAAGCATTTCGGCCCCTAGGGACTGCAAATTACCTTTGTTTCCACCGTAAATAGCCGACACAGATAAACTGAGTTCTTGCAGAACGCTACGATTACTAATAAAAACCCGAAAAACTTTAACGTATCAGGCAATAACTCCCGTCGAGTTTCAAGAAATCTTTTTAAAATTAAGAAATTTGGTAACAGTAGGAGGAGTCAATAGAACACCAGGCTTCTTATATGTTCAACTAAATACTTAATCTTCGTAATATAATTTGAAATCTCAAATCGAGGACCGGTGGTAGCGTCGAAGGCTTTGCGCCATTCGACGATCATTCAGGAAGAAACCGAGATACGGTTGCCATGACAACGGTCCCACGTCAAACCGAAAACAAAATGTATTCACATATTATGAGTTGGTACTTTTTACTTATGCTTCTCCATATGGCCAGTCTCAATAGAACGGTATAACTCAGAGGCAAATATTTAATGCTCTGTGGTCAACGTTTTAGTTAAGGTGTTGCACAGCCTGCCAGCCAGTGGACTGTGAAATGTGTGTTTAGATTTATATGTAACTAGCTGGCCTGGCAAACATGGTACCGCCTAACAGTCGATTCTTTATTTTTTTTTTAAATACTTATTCTGCTATTCGGGACACCGGTCTAGCTAGTAAGATAAAAAAAAGAAAGTTGATAAGACAACAAATACATTATGTCAAAAAATAAAAATTTACCTTCCCGGAACCCCTCCACTAACACTTGAACTTTATGGTATGGTATTAAGGTTCAAATTGACTTTTAAGGATTATTACGAATATTTTGTATGGGAATATAAAAAAGTGTTGTTTTTATACTATTTCACTCAATTTTTTTAAATTTTTCTCTCCGTAAAAACCATCCTCGTACTTCAAGGAATATTATAAAAAAAGAATTAGCAAAATCGAGATATCGAATAGAGAAATGAATAAGACAGAGCAAATTCAAATCTGATTTATTGTAAAACAACATCTTAAAGTATAATAACTAAAATAAATTATCAAAAAAGGTTAGTCGACATCACAGGAGACCGAAGATCTGGCAGCTACCTCGGACAAAGAATTAGTCTAGCAATTCAAAGGGGGGAACGCTGCCAGTATCTTCGGAACCTTGCCTAAAGGGACTCCTTTTAATGATATATTTTAGTTTATGTTAAGTTTCGTTATTTATTTCAATGTATATTATTTTATTATTATTAGTTTATGTTTATAAGTTTAATTTTATTAATATTGTTACCATTATTCTTATAACTAAAATATATTATCAAAAGGAGTCCCTTTAGGCAAAGTTCCGAAGATACTGGCAGCGTTCCCCCTTTGAATAGCTAGACTAATTCTTTGTCCGAGGTAGCCAGCTCTTCGGTCTCCTGTGATGTCGATTAACCCTTTTGCTATTTCATTAAAAAGCCTTATAGCGCTAAGACCCCACAGACCAAGGGTCTCGACACCGAATGGAACAAAATCAAATTTAGTATATCTTAAATACTACTTTACACCTATTCACTCATAATATTACTCTCGTGAGCTGGTGTTCACATGTTATTGGAACAACCACGTGAGGCGTGTCAGTAGTTGCTCAAT